AGCAGATAGCTATGGCCAGCCTGTCTCATGCTCTGAACAGCTGTTGACACTGGTCTGCTGCTTCCTGAGCCCTGGCCCTTGTCAGAGAAGGTCTCATTTCCCTAACCCTAACCCATGTGCTAGAATATGTCATTGTGCAAAAATATGTGTGGCATCTCTTTAAGGGAGGCTTGACCAAGGGACTGCTCTGGTCAGTGGAGTGACTGGACATGACATATGTCATTTCCAAACACACTCCAAGAGCCAAAGTGGGGTTCACCATGCTCTTCTGGTTTGGCGATAACTAGCTGTATCTCAGGGAGAGTGGTGCCCTGCCTACCGGGCGCCTGGAGTGAGGACCGTGTGGAGCAGAGACCCCCAGCTGACTGAAGCCGTGTGCCGTGGCTGAGGATGACCTGCTGATGGAGTACTCTTCTCAGAATGGGGGTTGTTTGTTGCAGCTCAATCTAACTGAACATGATTTTTTTAAAAACCCAGTAACCAAGGTAAGCCCAGCGTATTTCTGTCCCTCACAAACCCAAGGAGTCTCAGCCACACAGCTGCAGGGAGAGCGGCCCCACTTCAGTGGCCTCACACACGTGCTCTGACCTTTCTGGGTGTGACCCATCCGCCCTGATGCAGTCCCCTGCTGTGTGTGCATGTCACAGATTGTACACATGCGACATGTCTACCTCCTGTTACATGTGTATCCAACATACAAAGTTAGTACTAAATGCTGTCTGGATGGAACCTGATGCTTGCCTTTTCTCTGTTTGAGGTTTGAGTCCTTATGATAATGTGCCCTCCCCTGTCCCTCCCCCACTTCCATTATAACATGTTCCCAGTGTGGAGAAAAGCTGATGGAATTTCAGAGCGGACACCCACCTATTTACCACCTGATTCTTCAGCTGCCATTTTTTTGTATTTGCTTCTTTGCGTATCTACCCACCAATCTGTCGGTCCATCCCTCTGTCCGGCTATCTTGTTGTCTTGGATGCATTGCAAAATGAGTTGCAGGCTCACAGTGATGTAATGAGGTCTGCTCCCTTGGCAGTTAGTCTTTTTGCTTTCAATTCTGCATTTTTTAAAATTGCTTTTTCACCTTGTTTGAGGTCATCTTAACCATTTTCTCTGCTCACCCAAACTTGGACATTTTCACCCCCTAACGATAATGGACTTGGGGTATTTGCTGCATTCAGTAAACCCTGGGTGCCCACTTTCTTCATTTCACACTTTAATTTTTCTCTCTATTACTTCCTCCCTTATCTCTTCAGTCACCACAAATTTCCATTTGCTTTCTCTTCTCTCTTTAAACTCCCAGCAAATAATTTTTAAACAACAGCTAAACCTTGTTCTGTGTATCTGAGTACTCACAGCACATCCACGTTTTTCCAGAACAGAAGGAAAACATAATTCTTCCATTTTATTTCTTTGCAACAAAGTGATTAAATCTGTCTTCGTGACCTTCATACATCAGACCACTGGGCTATTTTATCTATTTAATGCAGTAAGTCAAGCTACTTCCCCTCTTTAGAGGGGTCTGTACCACGAGACAGTGTGGTGAATGCCAAGGGAGTGTTGAGAGAGATGCTGCCACCCTCCAGGTGCTGGATTGTTTTAGTTATTATAGGGCACTTCATGCTAGATACATGGTTGCATTATTGTACAAGTATTTTCCTATTCTAAAGATGGTTCTTTAAATGGAACTCTACTCTTGCTGTGCAGACTTAAAAGCCCCATTACATGGCCTGGTACATTTAATTTTATTCCCTGGTCAGCAGTCTTTCAATTTTTTAATAAAAGGCTCTCAGCAATGAGGTAAAAGGCTGCAAACAATCTCCAGCAACTCAGCCACCATTATATTTTATTTACTTACAAGTGGAATAAAGCTTTTAGTAAAAAATCTTAAGTAGCACTGTCCTTTTGGTGAGAAGCAATTCCATAACAATCTTTTGGACCTTATCTCAGATTTTAAAGCTGAGTCAGCTATTTCACAGTGAAGGGATAAAAGGAAAAATGTTCATAATGAAATATCACAGGAAGAAAGTGTCCAGATTTACATTACAATTCCTATTTATAAATGTCAGAACTCCTGCGCTTGAGTTCTGAGAGCTGACTGGCAAATTCATCCATCCGGGTCCTAGCCCCTCATCCGCACTCAGCACGGCACTCGGCGAGCTCTGCAAATGTAAAGATGAAGCAGACATGCACCCTTCCTCAGAGTTCGTGTTCAGTGGGGAGACAGGCACAGCGGCAGGTCTAGCTGAGGTAATGTGACGGGCACACAGAGAACAGGGTGGGGGGAGCCCACCTGCACTGAAGAGGGCGAGAATGCCCACAAAGCCTTCCCGAGGAGATCCTGAAGGACAATTGGAGGAGAAAGGAATTGTTACTAAAACTCTTTGTTGCAAGCAAGAAACAGCTCAATGCAAAATGGTTTCATGAAAAAATGAATTTATTGGCTCATATACCTGAAAGGCCCAGGGGATTTGGCTTCAGGCATAGCTGGATCCAGGGTTAGTACAGTATCATTAGGAATCTGCCACTGGGGTCTACCCAATAGCACCTCCCTTCTTTCTTGCTAATGTAACCCCACATTTTGTCACTCTCCTTGGAAATGCTAATGTCCTTCAGGAGTGGCTGGGCTCTACTAATTATAGTTGTAATGATCCTGTTTCCAAATATGTCACATTCTGAAGTACCAGAGATTAAGATTTCTATATATGAATTGGAGGGGCGGGGGCAAATTCAACCCGTAACACCGTCCTTTTTCCTTCCCCTCTCTCAGAGTCCTGCTGACCGCCCCCTGGAGAGACCTCACAGACAGTGAAGGAGCCTGGGGCTGTGAACCAAACAATGGGCCTCCTCAGCAGGGTGGAGGGGCAGGCTGCAGGGGCAAGGGGTGATTTCCCCAGATGGTGCTGTCTGCACTCTCGGGAAGGACCTCTGTGCATGGCGACCAGCAGCTCTGGGTTACTCTGTTCTCAGCCCCTGACATCTTACAAGGAGCGCCACCTTGATATCCCAGTTAATGACAGTTCTCTGAAAGGAGGTGACTGGTTCTAGCAGTGTTACAAGAGACTCTAAATGGACTGGGAGGCAGGACGCCTAGTGCTCCGCCCAGTGTGCTCCACAGGCCATCTCCTCCATCACTCCAGGACCTTCTCCCTGTGCTGCACCGGCCACATCTGTCACCTAGGGACTGCATTCCACTGCATGTTATGAGAATTCAAGAGCAGTGGTAATAGTCCAATGAGGTTTATTTTTCTTACATATCAGGTGTCTAGAGTAGGTGAGGCCCGAGCTGGTGCCAGGGCTTAGGGGAGTCATCAAAGTCTGGGCTCCCTCTAATTCATGGCTCCGCCACCTTTAGCACGTGGCTCTGGCCCCATTCTGCTCCCCCTCCAGCCCTACATCTCTGTTTCAGATGAGAGAAGTGTGGACTTCGCGGAAGAAGAGGGGCAGAAAGGAGAGAGCAGAACTTTCTCAGAAATCCACAGGATACACCATTTCTCTCTCTTCAGCAGACTGTCAGGCGGCTGTCCTGTCCTACATGGGAGGCAGGGAATGTCGCTTCTCCCCTGGGCTGATTGTCAGGCAGGTCCTGTTAACACATTGCTGACCGGCAATTTTACACAGAAGTTATCTCGTGTCACCGGCTAGTGAAACAATCTAAATAAACTTCAGTTTACTTTATTTATACATAATGAATTTAAATGAAACTTTGTACATATCTGCTACATATTATATTTTATACATATATTTTAGTAATTTTTTTGGTGTGGTATACTGTATAGCAATCACCCACGTGTAGTGTACACAACATGTTTTGCAAATATATGTGGTTTTGCTGCGCTTTCCTTTTGAGACACACACTTTACCCGTTCTAGTTGGATTTGTTTTATACCAGTGACTATTTTTTCTAAAACGTGGTCTTTTAGTTCCCTGAGAGCCTGAAAGGTGAGTCCAGGTAAGGAGCTCTTCTAGAAGGACCAGAAGTGCTAGGTCCTGAGCTGCCCTCATTCGAACCAGCAGATTTCCATTCCCCAGCGACTTCAAGTAGAAACTTTTTGTATCTTATTTTATTTTGTCTGTTGTAATTACAGTAAAATTTGAATGCATCGAAAAAAGCACAATTGAGCAGAAAGAATGCAACTTTTTTAGACCACTTTATACTTTTTAGAAAGATACTGCCGTTCACCAAATATGGGTCTGCTCGATGGACTCCTGTCGTGCACTGGTTGTGGTCTAACGTGCACGCAGGTTTAACTGTAGCTTCCGCAGAATTTCTTTTCCGCTTTCCAGTTGTTTTCATAGAGGCATCGTGGATAGTTGATATCACATTCACTAGTCTTTTATCTTTCCATGATAGAAGGACAATGGGTCCTTTCCGTAAAAACATCATTTCCCCTCTGAAGATTCTTTGACTTTTCTTTTGGTACCTTTGGCAGGCCACGGTTTCTCTTATGGTAGCACAGATCAGCGTTTTCTTTTCTAACAATACTTCAGCTGTGGAAACGCTGCTGTAATGATCTTGGTATACGACGTTTGGGCATGAAAACACGAGTCACCTCGTGAGTGGTCAACAGTGTTAATCAGGAGGTAGCAGAGTGGCTGCGGGTGTGCAGCGGGTAGGTAGCTACTCTGGCCAGGGCAGCTGTGCTTTGCCCCCAGGTTTGACAGCGGCACCTGGACCTGAAGTCACGCTGTCCTGAGGATCAGCGTGCTCTGGGGGGAGTCATAAATGCAGTACTCAGATTTAATTAAAGTCCTTCTGAGGAAATCCTAAAGCAGGTAACAAGCTCCCTACTAGGGCACTGTCATCAGCTAGCCCTCGCTTTCAGAAAAGGTGACAAGACATGTCTTCAGAAGTCTTTACACCACCTCAGTGATTGTCCCAATGTGCTCATGAACCTCAGGGGATTCAGGCACATCCCATCTAACACAGCACCAGTGGGCCTCTCTGCCTTAGTCCTGCTCAGACGTGGGCACAGACATGCCTATCTTTCTTCTCTCTCCAGAGGAAGAGGACCAAATTCATCGCCTGTGACTTTCTGACGGAGTGGTTATACAAGTGAGTTTCTCCTGGATATTCGGTGACCCTAAGAATCAGTCCTGTTAATCTGCAAACAGAGTAGCAACAATTGACGTGAATTCTTGCTTATTGGTTTTTGTCATTCCAACGTTTGGCATCATGAGCAGTCAGAATCCAAAGAGGACAGGGAAGCCATTCACAGAATTCTTCTCCATCCCGTTCGTGGAGCAGTGGCTGAAGCAACAGTAAGTGCCCACATGAGGCTTCGAGCGATTTATTTTTGGTGTTAAAATTGTGTCAGTGACTGTCTTCTGCAGCCTAGGAGAACTAACTCATAATCCACCCAGGACCTAGGTCAGCTCCATGCATGGCTCTTGTCTCTCATTATCTTCAGCCTAGGCTAAGGGCACCGTCCATGCAGTGATTCTTCAGGAAACTCTTCAGAAATAAAACAGAAAATGAAACAATTCTTGTCCCAAGTAATTCATCTCTGCATCCTCTCTCCACACTTTCCACTTTGCATGAAGGTCATTAAGTCTTAGGAAACATGACTAAACTTTCCCAACTATTGATTTTTAGTTAAATGCATCAGTTTACATTTAAAATATTAGAATATGGCAGATAAAACGCTCTTCGACCATCCTTCTAATCGGAGTCTTCTCACAGAAATAATCAGTTTGGTCTATAGTACATCCATTCAGAGCTCTTAGAATTAGTTATTTAGCCATATGAAATTAAGTTACTATCATGTGAAGTCCATAGTGTTTTATGTGAGCTACTTTTCATTGGCAATGCGGCAATGACGACGACGATGGCAGCTGACATTTGTTGAGCGCCTATATCAGCATTCTTGGCATCATAAAAATTAAAATGAAACTAATCTGATATAATGCAATAGACATTTATTGAATACCTACCAAGTGTGATGCATAGAGCTTGGTGCTGTGGAGAAAGCAGATGAGTAAAATACGGTCTGTCCCTTGGGGTCAGAGAGATGTGTTGACAACTAGCAGTAGTCTCAGTATCCAGTGTTGTAAGTTAGATGGTAGCAAAGCACCCAGGGAAATGGGAGGCATGGCCATCCCCAGGGCTCCTGGCAGGCTGGAACCAGCCCCGCTGGGGCAGTGGCCAAGCTGCTTGGTGACCAGATTTGGTTTTGAGAGGCAAGAACTCAGGTGCTGTGTCCTTCTTGAGGGTCCCTTTCCAGGAAGCATGAGAGTCCAGTGGGAACCAGTGTTCTTAAAGAGAAAGAGGGCAGCAGCCAGGGAACCTCCAAGCAGGTATCTCCAGCCCCAGCACTGAGTGCTGTGGGACAGACAGTGGGGCACAACCTGTGCTTGTGATCATGCTGAGAAGCTCAGAGGTCCTGGAGGAGATGGCCCCAGGGCAAGGGAGAGTGGAAGGTGTTGACTTTATGCTAATCCAGGGCTGTGCTCTGGCTTCCCAGAGCAAGAGAATTTTTATTTATTTTTATTCTTTAATTAATTAATTAATTTATTTTTGTTACAGATGTTTCTCCTTTTTCCCCCACTGATACCTCCCTCCCCGCCCTGTCCCAGCTTTGTTGTCCACGTCCATTGTTTATGCGCACATGCATATAAGTTCTTTGGTTCCCCCCAACCCCATCCTCTCTTCTGGAGATTGTCAGTCTGCACCCCAATCCACGTCTCTGGGACTACCCCATTCCTCAGACTGTTATGTTCATTATATTCCAAAAATAAGCGAGATCATGTGATATTTGTCTTCCTCTGCTTGGCTTGTTTCGCTTAAGATAATACTCTCCAGGTCCCTCCATGTCGTCTCAAAGGATAAAAGATCTTTCTTTCATATAGCTGCTTAGTACTCCATTGTGTATATGTACCACAGCTTTGTTATCCATTCTTCCACTGATGGACACTTCGGTTGTTTCCAGTTCTTAGCTATTGTAAATAGTGCTGCTATGAACACGGGGGTACATATATTCTTTCTGATTGGTGTTTCAGGCTTCTTAGGATATATTCCTAGAAGTGGGATCACTGGGTCAAATGGAACTTCAATTTTTAAATTTTGAGGTAACACCATATTGTTTTCCATAGCGGCTGCACCAGTCTGCATTCCCACCAGCAGTGTACTAGAGTCCCCAATTCTCCACACCCTCACCAACACTTGTTGTTTGATGATTTGTTGATGGCGGCCATTCTAACAGGTGTGAGGTGATACCTCATTGTTGTTTTAATTTGCATCTCTCTGATGATTATTGATGCTGAGCATTTCTTCATATGTCTCTTAGCCATTTGTATGTCCTGTTTGGAGAGCTATCTATTTAGTTTCTCTTCCCATTTTTTAATTGGGTTCTTTGTCTTCCTTTTATTGAGCTGTATGAGCACTATATATTTTGGAAACTAACCCCTTATCTGATGTATCATTGGCAATGATGCTCTCCCATAGAGTGGGTTGCCTTTCCATTTTGGTGGTTGTTTCTTTTGCTGTGCAGAAGCTTTTGAGCTTGATGTAGTCCCATGTGTTCATTTTTTCCTTTGTTTCTGTTCCCTTAGGTGATGTATCAGTGAAAATTCTGCTGTGTGTGATGTCTGAAATTTTGTTGCCTACATTTTCTTCTAGGATTTTTATGGATTCATGAGTCATATTGAAGTCTTTTATCCATTTTGAGTTTATTCTTGTGTATGGTTTAAGTTTATGGCCTAGTTTTATTTTTTTGCATGTAGCTATCCACTTTTCCCAACACCATTTATTAAAGAGGCTGTCTTTACTCCATTTTATGCTCTTGCCACCTTTGTCAAATATTAATTGAACATAATGTCTTGGATCCATTTCTGAGTTCTCTGTTCTGTTCAATTGATCTACTTGTCTGTTCTTGTGCCAGTACCAGGCTGTTTTGATTATAGTGGCTTTGTAGTATAACCTGAAATCTGGTAATGTGATCCCTCCAGCTTTGTTGTTCTTTTTCAAGATTACTGTGGCTATTCGAGGTCTTTCTTTGTTTCCATATGAACTTTTGAAGTATTTGTTCTAGTTCTGTGAAGTATGTCGTTAGTATTTTGATGGGGATTGCACTGAATCTATAGATTGCTTTGGGTAGTATGGACATTTTAATGATGTTAATTCTTCCAATCCATGAATAAGGTATGTGCTTCCACTTTTTTATATCTTCCTCTGTTTCTTTTTTTCAGTGTCCTGTAGTTTTCTGCAAATAGGTCTTTTACTTCTTTGGTTAAGTATATTCCTAGGTATCTTAATTTTTTTGCTGCGATGGTAAATGTGATTTTTTTTTTTTAGTTTCTCTTTCTGTGTTAGTTCATCATTGGTGTATAAGAATGCCGTCGATTTCTTGACATTAATTTTGTATCCTGCTACTTTGGCAAATTCATTTATTAAGCCTAGTAAATTTTTGATGGAGTCTTTGGGATTTTCTACTTATACTATCATGTCATCTGCAAATAATGACATTTTCACTTCCTCCTTTCCAATTTGGAAAGACTTCTAGTACTATGTTAAATAAGAATGGGAAAGTGGGCATCCTTGTCTTGTTCATGTTCTAAAGGGAAATATTTTTGGTTTTTGCCCATTGAGTATGATGTTGGCTGTAGGTCTTTCATATATGGCCTCTATTATGTCGAGATATGATCCCTCTATTCCCAGATTGCTGAGCGTTTTTATCAGAAATGGGTGCTGGATTTTGTGGAATGCTTTTTCAGCATCTGTTGATATGATCATATGATTTTTATCTTTCATTTTGTTTATGTGGTATATCACATTTATTGATTTGTGAATATTGTACCAGCCTTGCATCCCTGGAATGAATCTCAGTTCATCATGATGAAACAATTTTTTGATGTATTGCTGGATTCAATTTGCTAGTGTTTTGTTCAGGATTTTGGCATCTATGTTCATCAGGGATATTGGCCTGTAGTTTTCTTTCTTTGTAGTGTCCTTTTTTTTATTTTGGAATTAGAATTATGCTGGCCTCATAAAATGAGTTTGGAAGTCTTCTGTCTTCTTGAATTTTTTGAAATAGTTTGAGGAGAAAGGGTATTAGTTCTTCTTTGAATGTTCAGTAAAATTTTCCCGTGAAGCCATCCGGGCCTGGGCTATTGTTTGCTGGTAGAGTCTTGATGACATCTTCAATTTCTCTTGTTGTTATTGGTCTGTTCAAGTTTTCTATCTCTTTCTGGTTCATCTTTGGGAGACTATGTGATTCTAGAAATTTGTCCATTACACTTAGATTGTCGAATTTCTTTCCGTATAATTGTTCACAATAATTGTTAACGATCCTCTGTATTTCTGTGGTGTCAGTTATTATTTCTCCTCTTTCATTTCTGATTTTGTGTATTTGGGTTCTCTCTCTTTGTTTCTTTGTGAGTATAGCTAAGGGTCCATCAATCTTGTTTATCTTTTCAAAGAACCAGCTGTTTGTTTCATTGATCCATGGAATTGTTTTTTTGGTCTCCATGTCATTTTTTTCTGCTCTGATCTTTACTATTTTCTTCCTTCTACTTTCTCTGGGGTTTTCTTTTTGTTTGCTCTTTAGTTCTTTATGTTGTGAGGTTAGTCAATTTGAAATTTTACTTGTTTCTTGAGGTAGGCCTGTAGTGCTATGAACTTCCCTCTCAGAACTGCTTTTGCTGCATGCCATAGATTTTGTGTTGTTGTGTGTTCATTTTCATTGGTTTCCTCGAAGTTTCAATTTCTTCTTGATCTCTATGGTAACCCATTCATTGATCAATAACATGCTATTTATCTTCCATGTGTTCAAATGTCTTTGCATGTTCTTGTTGCAATTGTTTTCTAGTTGCCAGCCATTGTGATCTGAGAAAATGCTTGGTATGATTTCAGTCTTCTTGAACTTGAAGAGATTTAGTTTGTGCCCTAATATGTGGTCTATCTTTGAGAATGTCCCATGTGCACTTGAGAAGAATGTGAATTCTGTAGTTTTGGGGTGTAATTCTCTGTAGATATCTATTAAATCCATTTGATCTAGTGCTTCACTTAGAGTCTGTGTTTCCTTGTTAATTTTTTGTCTAGAGGATCTAGCCAGTGGTGTCAGCAGGGTGTTGAAGTCCCCTGCTATGATTGTATTGCTGTTGATTTCTCCTTTGAAGTCCTCCGGAAGATTTTTAATATATGTTGTTGCTCCTATATTGGGTGTATATATGTTTACCAAGGTTATATCTTCCTGTTGGATAGATCCTTTTAATATTATGTAGTGGTCTTCTTTGTCTGTAGTTAGGGCCTTCATTTTGAAATC